GAGATGGAGATGGAGATGGAGATGGAGATGGAGATGGAGATGGAGATAGGGATGGAGATGAAGATGAAGATGCCGATGAAGATAAACATAAACATAAACGTAAACATAAACTTAAACGTAAACATAAACATAAACGTAAACATAAACATAAACGTAAACATAAACATAAACATAAAAAACGATGAAGACAAAGGTGGGGAGGAAGAAAGTGATAGGGATAAAAATGGAGATACAACAGAAGAATGTGCGATGATATGGTATGTTATGCTACATACATATGTTATGTTATTTAATTTTATGTTATGGTATTTTATGTTATGCTATGATTTATTATGTAATGCTATGTACTAAGTTAAACTCCCCTCCACTTAACCCATTCCAACTAATGTTATTTCACCTCAACTCAAATTACATAAACTCCCCTTAATTTTAATGGATTAATTTCAACCACTGGGCGAACACTAGTATACTTACATACTCATGTCAGCTTTAGCAACCGTTACAAGCTGAGCATACGCTATTTGGTATCAAACGCCTTCCACCAGAGGTGCCGTAAGTGAGAATAGGTCTTGCCATTGCTGAATACATACGATGTATTTAACGTGACCAACCGTACTTCTTTGGTAAGTACTTGCTTCTTTTTTCGCTCTCGTAGTTCATACTTCGAAGTACAGTCAAATGCACTTCTTTGCAATACCTTGTACTTCAGGAGGGAGCTTTTGTAACCAGTTAGCGACAGTTTTCGGATCGCTATCGCACTTTTTGACACATGATATAAACGTTTTTGTGTCACAAAGTGCTATAGCGATTCGAAAATTGTCGCTAACTGGTTTCAGAATCTCTCCCCAGGTCCTGTACTTCTCCGATCTTCTGGACTATCGATAGCGATTCGAAAATTGTCGCTAACTGGTTTCAGAATCTCTCCCCAGATCCTGTACTTCTCCGATTTTCTGGACTATCGTCACGTGGCCTGGGCGATAAATTCGTTCAAACCATTAAAGTCGCCGGGGACCGATGGCATCATACCTGCGCAGCTGCAAAGGCCTCTGAAGGTGTCGTGCAATTGGTTGGATCCTATTTATGCGAACTGCGTAAGGACCGGGGACATCCCCAAGGCTAAGAGGGTAGTCAGTGTTGCGATCATC